ATGAAATGCTAAGCTTAAGCTAGGATAAATCTTTAGCTGCCATGTGATCCAATTCATTTATTATCCCATCGATTAAAAAACGATTAAAGTACATCAAACGTTGCAGGAGAACACATGGCCAAAGCTACCGCGGCAGCTTTTAAATCTATGACCTTAAGTTATAATTAATTTTAAGGTAATACTTTTTGCTGTTGATTATGGGGATTTAGCTTTGCTAGGGGGTTTTGATAATTGCTTTTAATACAAATTAAAACATAACATGTCAGCATTACACTGTAAAAAATAAAATCGTAAAATGGGGTCAAATGACTGGCAGCAAAGGCTGCCAAACAAATACCGTAAAAATAAAGTAAAATATCCTAATTTAAATTAAGTACAAAAACATTTAACAGATATTTTTCTTAAATGTTCATTAAGCTTTTTAACAGAAACACAGTTATTACACATATTTTCAGATTTTTTTATTAAGAAACATGTAGGTGACGCATGATTTACTGTGACTATACGTCACTGCATTAGCAACTACACAGTTACTGTCAGTTAAATAAAGCAACTTGCAGCATTTCATCAGTGTGATTCTGCTCATCCTGAACTGAAGCACAGGCTCTACTCTTCAACACAATGGTGACCAACAAAACACACCATACCGAAACAATTTACATCCCAACAGAACATTAAACACTAACAGATCTCTCAAGATCTCTGCATCCTCACTTATTACAATCCAGACTTTATTTATTGCATACTAACATTCTTACTGAGAATTAACAGATGTTTAGAAGTTGTTTTTTTTATGGAAAATAATAAAGTTTGATGTCACCATGATGGAGATCAGTGTTTGCTTTCGTGGGGCTCTTGGCCCTTTGGTTTTAACATTACTTTTTCTCTGGCTGCTTTAACCCCTTAACTGTCACCGTCCCACAGGTGGGACGTTTGCCATTATATTTTTAAAACAATAATATCTTAGTGAAAACCTTAAGTTATATTGACAAACTATATATCATTTGAAAGCTTACAATCTCTAGTTTCCATATTTGGTGATTGATTTTCAAAATAAATTACAGAGGAGCCGTAATTTATCAATTTGCAACAAGAATATTTTCATACTCCTAAGGCGTGTTCAGACCTTTATTTTGAAATAGCAATGAACATGAAAAATCATGAAAAAAATTGTAGAAACCTAGTTTGTTTTCATACCAAGAGTTCAAAAGATAGCATCCATTCAATTATTTTTGAAAAAAAAGTCTGAAAATGTTTTAAATATAAAGAAAAAAAATAATAAATTCACCATTTGTGAGGTGGCAGCGAGCTATGACGCACATGCGTGTTCTTTGTATGTGTTTATTAGAGGTTGAATTCATATCAAAATCTGCCAAACTTCCCATACTACTTCTGAATAGGATCTCTACTTCATAAATTGTATGAAAATTGTGGAAATAATGGTTCATATCACTCAAAACACATATGGAAATGGAGGCGCCCTTATATGGGCAGTAATGGAGTCTGGTTGTCATCTAGTGAAAAAGTTTGGTACTGCGCCCTAACAAAATCATACTGAAAGCTCATTTTTTGAGATATCAACCTAAAATTTGAAACACAACTTGTTCAGATTTTTGGCTTTGATTTTTCTGCAGTTTTAGAGTAGCCCAGGTTTTGAAAATATATATTTTATATAAAATATGAATAATTAAATTTTTTACATTGTACATTTTCATAAACTCAAACTTCTATAACTTTTTTTCTGTTTCACTTTCTTAATTTATTTCACTTCTACATAAATCTGCCAAATGTCTTCTTTAAAACAAGACCAATCTTACGTCTATATTCCAAAGCATTCTTGAATTACAACCATTTATGTTCGAAATGTGCATTTTCATGTCTATTCAAAAAAAGGGGGGTGACAGTTAACAGGTTAACTGTGTGTCGCTGACACATATTTGTTATGATAGGAATCCAAGAGAAACTCAGATCAGAGGATCTGATCACTTATTAGTGATAATAGTCATCATGTAGTTGAATGCTTTATTGATGCCACCTAAAGAGTGTAATATCTGATTAATTCGTTAAATATTAGTTGTTAATTTTGCAAACCAATACTGTTAGAGAAGATCATGCAGTGCTGTGATACTAAGATTGTATCAAGTCATAATACAGACAATGTTTTGACAGGATCATACAGACTCACACATACATCAAGAATCAGTGTATGAATCACTGCAATGCTATAAAGTCACATAAAGGCTTTGTTGATTGTCACCATTGTTGAGATTCATATGTTGATTATTGATGTCATACTCCTAAAAAAAAATTAACCAGCTCAAACATTTTCTTTATAATAAATATTTTTCTTAAATTTCAGATTGGAATAATATTGTTTCAATATTTCAGGGTTCATGGGGAAAAGTATGACAATCATAGACTTTATTTAAAACTTAAGCACGTCTATTTATAATGTAATCTAAATAGATACACTCAAGTATTTCACTGTCATATCAGATAATCAGGTCACCATATGATGACTATAACATAACCAATAAATGACCAACATCAGCTGATATTTTCTCCTGCTTTAATTGCTATAACAAATGTATATCGAATATACAGTTAAAGTAGCCAGAGAAAAACTAATGTTATAAAATTAAAGGTCAAGAGCCCAACTAAAGCAAACACTGATCTCAATCATGGTGACATCAAATTTCTGTTAAAGTTTTTTGCACTTTATTTAAATTAACATATTTTACTTTAATTTAATGTTTTTTGTTTGGCAGCCGTAGATACCAATCATTTGACCCTTTTTTTACGATGAAGGTATTTGATCATAATAATGCAGGAAATACCTGTGAAATAACAGTTTTTTTGGTTTATTTAAAATAGAATATTTTACTATAATTTTATGTTTTTTGTTTGGCAGCCTTTGCTGCCAATCATTTGACCCTTTTTTTACGATTTTTTTACAATGAAGGTATTTGATCATTATAATGCAGGAAATACCTGTGAAATAACAGTTTTTCAGTTTATTTAAATTTGAATATTTTACTTTAATTTTATGGGTTTTGTTTTGCAGCCATAGCTGCCAGTCATTTGACAATTTTTTTATGATTTTTTTACAATGAAGGTATTTGATCATAATAATGCAGGAAATACCTGTAAATAACAGTGTTTTTCAGTTTTACTTTAATGTTACAGTTTTTTGGGCTACCAGTCATGTAATCATTTAACTGTTTTGTTACCGTTTAATTACAGATTATATTTGTAATTTTACATACATTTTTATGTAATTTAAGAAAATAGAAAAATATTGTATGAAAAATACAATCAATTTTCTGTAAAAAAAAAAAGTGAATGACTGGAATTTGTCATTAATGTCACAATACCTAAAATATCAGCTGCATTTTTATTTTACAGATATTATTTGTAATTGTACAGTGTTTTGAGTACAATTTAAAATGAAAGAAAATGATCGTCAAAAAATCACAGTTATTTTCTGTGAAATTAGGATTTTTTTTACAGTGTCCAAACAAAAACATTACATGCAGTTTGCAACTAATATTCGTTTTTAAGGTGTACTAAAGGGCATACCTGTAGTGCTTAGTATAAGTAAGCAAACTGGGATTGGGCCCGGGTCTCTTGACCATGTGGTGCATTAGCACATGTGTAGGGGGTCCAGGAGCTGTCGCATGAATGATCTGACCCCACAGGCTTCATCCATTAGATCTAATGTGCCTCACTAGTCCATTTAGCCTGCTAACCCCACCCCCACTCTCTCTCTCTCTCTCTCTCTCTCTCTCTCTCCCTCCGATCATTCCCTTGCTCCATCAGACTTCTCCTCCAGGATACAGAAAGAGAAAGCAGGGCAACAGAGACCGGCTCTTTTCTTCTCTGCCGGGCACTGAGCGATGCTGAGCCTCGAAGACTGAAAGAGTGGGAGAAAAAGAAAAGACAGAAACAAAAAAAGAGATGCTGAGAGGATGTTTGTGAAGCATTGACTCAAAGAGGAATGAAAGGAAAGAATAAAAACGGGAAAAAAATAGAATACAGAGGCTGTATAAAGGGCCGGAAGGTCAGTTGAGTCAGTAGACAGTTCCTTTCAAATATGAAAGGAACAGATTACCCAAAAATATAAATCTAAATATAAAATCTATCCATCTATCTATCTATCTATCTATCTATCTATCTATCTATCTATCTATCTATCTATCTATCTAGAGTCTAACTCTTCATGTTTGTCCTGCAACAGAATCCAGTGATATTTTACTTCAGTAATCAGTCCATTCCTTGCTGGAGGGCTGCAAAGAATTCTGTGGCATCTGGATTGTGGGTTTCTGGGTATTTCTGTGCACATTTGTATGTGTGCATATGAGTGTTTGTGTGTGCAATACCACTATCCATGGGGTAAAACTTTCTCCTAATCCTTCAGAAAACTGGAATCAAATGCAGCTTCATCACACATCTGAAAGCAGTGGTCTGGATTAACGCCAGCTGATGGGATGTCACAATGTCGGCAATAAGAAATACAGTCGACGGTCTTCACATGCACAGAGCTGATATTACCACATATATACATAAAAGATTAATTAGTCATATAATTGTTTAAATATTGTACTTTTTATGATTTAAAATAGAGAAACAAATAAAACTTGACTTGACATGACTACATTTATATAGCATGGCCAAAAGATGCTCTGCTTTACTGTGCATTGATTCATTGTTGGAACTATATAGAAATTATAGATAGTTCCAACCGGGTTGAATACCCCTTCATTATAGTATAGAGGGTAAATACTTCATATAATAACCATTTTAAAGGTAACTTTGGCTGCTTGAGCTCTCAAGATGTGTATGCTGCTGTTACTTTATATGCAGTGAATGTGTCGCACATATATAGTACATAGTACGATAGATATTTTGATTCTGAGAATGATTTGTTTTAAGGTCATTAGTTCATTTTAAGATTATGCAAATTGGCCACACACCAAAAAAAAAAAAAAACATGCACCCAATTTTCATGTTAAAAATTTTATTTATATTCCAAAATACAGTGAAAATGTGAAAAAGAAAAATATATATTTTCATTCAATGGCTCAGGAAACCCACAGTAACTTTATACAATGTAGACAAAATACATACTCCATAAATGGTGGAAATATTAGCTTAAAATCTCTTCATGTAGACCAGTGGGGGAAAGGGTTCACATATCTCATCTTCCTATGATATGACAGTAGATTCAAACTTTGACCCACTCTACTAGAGTACACATGTACACATGAGAATGATCATTTACTAAGGATGAGTGCTATCAGCTCTCTGTTCCAGGATCAGTGTTGTACACGCGCCGGACAGTGTGAGAGCAGGCTGGACCTGCGTAATTCACTGTCGCCTCTGTTTCTTTCCTGTAAGAGAAGAGGGAAAACTTGAGCTACGTGTCCAGTTCAAAATGTTATATTATGTTATGTTCTAAATATTATCTTTTACAAACATTTGATGATGAAATAGATACAAACACATACCTTTAGGTTTTCTGTGTACAGGTGCTGCCAGTATGTGGTCAATCAGTTTGCTTACCCAGTTATTCTCACTGGGAAAGGGCGCACAGAGCTTCAAGCCCTTCTTTGTGACAAATCTGTGGAAATTCATTCATATTTAAATATGCTAAATCCTATACACCTTGAAGTCTGCAGCACTATTGAGGCATTTTGAAATGCATGTAATGCGACTTACATAGTGGCAGGAATCCTGCAGACTCCATCGCTGGTCTGAATGGTGAAGGACGTCACCACCCTCTGTGGGATGCGCCGGTGACTGGTAGTTAAACAGCAATCCGCTGCCCCGTCACTTTGAGCTGTGGTAGTTAAACAGTGCACAGAATGTTAACCATTAGCCATTTTCACAGTCTCGCCTGCTAAACAATGAAGAAATAGCCAGATTATCTTTACAGATAGTTAAGAATTGTAAAAAGTTGCTTTAGAAATGATTGTAAAGAGCATTCTTGTTCGTTTAACCTTCAGATATACGTTCAAATACATTTGAAACCTTAAACATCTTGCACAAGCTAAATAATGGTACATTTTTCCTCACCTGTTGTACAGCTCCATAGACTGACGCTCAATATAAGCAGAGCACCTGTCCATAATGTCATAGAGTTCGAGAACATCATGTTGTCCCTCTGCATGTGTTATTTCACCTGTCCTCAACAGATGTGTGGCTCACTGGCGCACGAGCTCCTTTTATACGTTTCATCGCAAACTTTCACTTTCTTTATCCTTTAAGGTAACCGTTTCCTGTAAATCCATCCCTCTTTAAAGAGCCCTTTCACCTTCTTTTGTTAACTGGAAATGAAGGTGCCTGCCAAGCGAGTTCTTTCATCTGAAGTGAAGGGAAAGTTTCGACATGTCTTCGGGGCTGTGCCTATCAGATGTGCTTATCAGTGTCACTGTCTCATGATGAGAAACAAACATGGTGGCGGTAAAGTCGTATTAACGCTTGTCTCTCATAGCTGGAGGGAACAGGTGGCACATAAGTGGCTTTTGAACAAATTAGATGTTGCTTAAATTCCACTAAGTGATCATTCTAGTGTGCATCAGCCTTTCTTTTGTCTTTAAATCAGAAGTGTCCACGCTGAATTTTTGAGTGGATTCAAATACATAAATTAAATTAAATAAAAAATAAGAGCATGCAGCTCTGCATTGGATTGCAACTATATCTATATATATTGATTTTTATATTAATTAGAAAGTAAAATTATATAAAAAATATTATATAAAAAAAATTTAATTCACAATTGCTCATGGGTTTGCAACTGTCTTATGTATCTACTTCAGTATCAGTATCAGTATCAGTATATCAGTATCGGGTTAATCATATGAGTGCACTTCGCATGTGCACATCTGATGCGATATACCAATTATTGTCATAATGGTTGTGATAATATTCATCTTTATGACTCTTTTATGTAACTTATTAAAGAAACATACCTTAATATCAAACTGGCAAATTCTTACCAAACCACTTATAGTTTGATTGACAGCATGAAAATTTTTTTTCGTGTGCTTTTGGATGTGACCCAATAAAAGCTGCAAGAACATGTACCCGCTACTGCTGGCAGGTAAGCAATGATTGCTGTTGGAAAATGATGCACTTTTAGAATTATTTTCTAAGTTCCTTCCAATCATTGATGACTACCTATATTTTAAGTTACTATTCATTTCACAGATTTGTATTCTGCATTTCGCTGCTATTGTGTTTTGAACCACAAATAAAGAAATACTTCTTTTCTGTGAATTTCTAACCTGTTCAAAGCAGCTGAAATGCGCATTATGATATTCTTATGCACAGAAATGTTTTGGCAATACTGGTAGTGTTACGTTTCAGGCGTGCATCTACACGTGGAAGCTAAATATATGCATGGAACACAGCCAGCAAACTGTCTAAAGGCCTCGGACATGTTAATCATGCAGAATTTTCCTTCTTTTTTTTTTAATGGTCCCATAGACAGAAATGCTGCTCGATTAACAGCCCCTCCACACGCCGGCCAGGTCTTTATTCTGTGACGTGATCCGTGTGTATCTCATGAGCACTAAAGTTTCATTTCTATCTACAGCTGGGTTCAGTTTTCACTCATCACTTCAGACTTGTCAGGGAATGAGCACCATGCCGTGTCACTTCCTGTTTGACGGCTCGCTTCCACCTGGGCCGCAGCGACATCAGCAGGTCCAGAGGTAATCAAGCTGCTTTGTCAAAGCACGTGACGAGGAAATAACAGACAATCAGGACCACTTGAAGGCTAGTCAAAATGTGCGATGGGAGTCTTTTGCTCATGTTACAGCCCCTTTTTAAATATGAAATCTATAATAAATGATATAATATAAATAACTTTGAATATATGCATTTTGTGTTTTGCATATTACGCATTTATTGGTAAATATTAACAAAGAAGCCTGTGAAAATAAATCTGCATTGTTGATCCTTTTGATCTTTCATTCAAAACATTGGCAAAAATCTAATCTTTCAAAAGAAGGGGGGTAAATCACATTATGAAATAAATGTTTTTCTCCAAAACACACTGGCCATAATTACATTCACATTCAATCATTTAGCAGACGCTTTTATGCAAAGCGACTTACAAATGACGAGAACAATAGAAGCAATCAGACCAACAAGAGGGCAACAAGTGCTGTAACAAGTCTCAGTTACAGTACACATAGCAAGGGTTTTGTTTTTTAGCAGAAAAACAAAACAAATAGAAAAGGTAAGTGCTAGTATTAATTGGTCAGGTGAATTAATTGGCCATTTGAAAATGGCTCGAATTGAGATAGGATAGATTAATTATTTAATGCCACCATTTTATTCAGTACTTTTTGCACCCTCCTTTTGCCGAGATAACAGCTCTGAGTCTTCTCCTATAATGCCGGATGAGTTTGGAGAACTCCTGACAAGACATCAGAGACCATTCCTCAGGATCTCTCCAGATCCAATAGATTCACAAGTTCATGTTGGCGGGTCTTCTCTTCAGTTTAGCCCACTCATCTTAATCTATAGGGTTCAGGTCTGGGACTGGGATGGTCATGGCAGAAGCTTCATTTTGTTCTCAGTAACACATCTTTGTGTTGATTTTGATGTTTGTTTTGGATTGTTGTCCTGATGGAAGATCCCATTATAAGATTTCAAGCAGAGGCCATCAGGTTTTGATTTTTTTATCTGTTGCTATTTGCTAGAATCCATGATACCATGTCTCTGAACAAGATGTCCAGGACCTCCAGCAAAAAAAAAGGGGGTCCAAAATTTGACAGATCCAGCAACTGTGTTATCCCTGTTTGCACCAAACCCATCTGGTTTTGCTGCACAAAAGCTCTTTTTTTAGTTTCATCTGACCCTGTTGAAGTTCCAGTCGTGTCTGACTCTGACAACTGAATATGCTGGAGTTTGTTTTTGGATGAGCGAGCAGGATTTGAAACCCTCCCAAACAACATGTGGAGATGCTGTTTGATTTTCTTTTCCTGAGGCTAATTTCTGCAATTCTCCATCTGTGATCCGTGGAGAGTCTATGGCCACTCAAACTATTTTCTTACAGCCACTTGCTGTTTTGTGAAGCTCAACAATCTTTTGCTGCACATCAGAACTATATTCTTTGGTTTTACTCGTTGTATTGGAAATTTGGCCTTTGTGTTTCTTCATATTTACACTCCTGTGATGCTTTTTTTCTTCAAGTAAGTGGACGTTTACATGATAATGATGTACTAAAAACAGAAAAGTTTGTCCTTTTTTTTTTACCGTACAGATGACAACGCTGTCAAAATGATCTCCATTCACACGGATTCGCTTAAAATAAAAACATATTATTCATGCCAGCCCAGTATATGGCGAAGTCATTTTGTACAGAAACTACGCACCTATAGACTGAACGCGTAATACGCATGTGCATGACGGCACCGTTTTTGCAAATTTGTGTTTTTTTGAAACCTGTTTTCAAAAGTTTGCGTTTTTTTTAGGCCCCCAAAACGCTGCTGTCATATAAATGAACGACCAAAAAGCATTAAAAAAAATTCATTTTTAGTTGAAAACAGTGTTGTGAAAACTGCCCCTAAAATATTTTCAAGAATCTTTTTTTTTTTACTTTGACAAAAAAAAAAAATCAAAATTAATTTTAATATAGGAATTAAAAGTATGCTCATCATAGAAGATGTGTACTGAAGTCAGTGTATTAATGATTTGCATTTTAATGCATTTTTGAATATAAGGGTCTGTTTTAATGTTGATAGCAACAGACCACTTCAAATCACTATAGATAGTGTCACTCCTAAAATATTGCATCATAACATTCATCCAGTTATACAATAAATCTGTTATATAACACGTTTCTTTCATCAGTATTGATTTACTTTTTCTCATCTACTGTTGAACATTGGTTGGCTTTCATTTACCCTGAGAACAGATGTACATTTGAAAGAGATGTTTTATGTATTCTCTATCAACAGATATAGACTTGTCATAAGTTCCGAGCAAGATTCATAAAATATTTGCGGTTAGTAATTTGCCAAAGATGTTTAACTTGCAAAAGGCTCCAATAACAAAACGTTCTGTTCGTTTGGGGGTTCAACTTTCATTGTGCTCATGAAGAACAGCAATGATCCATCTTCCTTGTATAGACTCGCCCACATCTCAAAGTGCTTGTTTATACTGGAAACTCAAATTCACTTTCCTTCAATGAACAACAGAAAGAGAAAAAAAATAATCAAGCCACTTCCCGCAGTCAGGTTGTGCACTTGCCAGATATGTCTGGAATCCATACAAGATAAACTCATTGCAGAAATCTACAGGTCACCAAACACAGTTTGATCCTTATCATTGATGCCCTAAAGCTAATGAGTTCTAAGTTAGTCACGTAGACACAAACCTCACACTTACAATTACTAGTTTGCTGCCTGGCTGGGTTCATTTTAATGGCATTTTCTATTACAAAAGCATTATTTTTGTTTTTATTATTGAGATGTATATGCCTAAGATGTCTACGGATAGAGATGTAATCGAAATTATTCACCCCCAATTGCAAATTAGGTTTATTGGCTAAATGTACAGACTTCCAGCTGTTTGCAATGAACAAATTAAACAAAATACTAAATCGAGGGCTTCATTAGTTGCACCAGGTGTGCTTGAGCTAGAACACATGAAATTTCTGAATTGGCTAGGTTTGTTAAGTGTCATGTTTGACTGCATGTTAGAAATACGGCTAGGACAAAAGAAAGGTCCAAAAAGTTAAAAGAAGATATCATTGCCTTTCACAAACAAGGAACAGGATACAAAAAGATAGAGGAATGTTCCTAGTTAAAGGAACAGTGGTTACACTACCTGGACGGCGCAGAAAAGGGAAGCTATCAACGGCTGCAACCAGATTTCTGACAAGGCAGGTTCATAAAAACCCTTAAATGACTGAAAAAGACCTGCAGCAAGAGTAAGGTGAGTACTAAACGACTGCCAGAACTCCAAGACTACTGACCCAAAAGCACAAGAAAAGTCGGCTCCAATTTGCTCAAATTCATAGTTTTGGGATTCTGTTCTATGGAGTGATAAAACTGGATCTTTTCAGCCCTATGGATCAGTGGTATGTCTGGAGGAAGAATGAAGCATATGCCGAAAGAACACTCTTGTCCATAGTTAAGCATGGTGGGGCTCGGTGATGCTCCGGAGCTGCTTTGCATCCTCTGGCACTGAAAACCTCTAG